GTTCTCTCCCACAGTATGTTGTTGGTAATAGTGTCTGGCCAATGGATCCGAAGTATTTTGCGTAAATAGTTGTTAATAAACACTAATACAAGTACGTGGCTAAGATAAATCATTGTAACAAGTTCTTAGTATTAAGTGAGCGCAAGAAAATCAGTTGAGTTGCATTAGTTGGACCCAAAATATTGGCTGCTGTATACCTAAATTGTTTAAACGTACTATATGGTTTGAAAGCTATGGTGATTTAATGGTAAGTTTGTTGAATAATTACGTACTTTTATTGAGTTGTTGCTTCTTAGAAAAAAGAAGACCAAAAGAGAAATATAACTCGTTAATCACACCTATTTATGTGATTTTCCCTGTATGTTGTCTAAAGAAGCAAAGAGTAGTGGACTAAATGTGTCGCTTACCAAATGACTGGAAGAACGCCATAGTAAGTCCTGTCTTCAAAACAGGTACGAAACATAAACCTGAGAATTACTGACCCGTTAGCCTAACTAGTATGGTTGTTAAAATCTTAGAAAAGTTCATTCGGAAGGAGCCTTTTCAGCATCTCGATGTAAACCGGATCCTCTCGGAAAAACAGCACGTTTTCAGAATAGGTTATTCTTGTCTCACTAACTTATTAGTCGCTCGTGAAAGCTGGTGTGCTCTTTAAGACCAAAAGTTACATGTAGACGTAGCCTACATTGATTTCAGCAAAGCTTTTGACAAAGTTCCGCACAACCGGCTGTTATATAATCTAAAAAATGTCTGAATTGGAGGCAATCTATTGATGTGGATAGAAAACTTCTTTGTTGGGCGCCAACAAAGAGTACGGGTAAACTCAAAGTTATCTATCTGGGAAAATGTGCTTAGTGGAGTGCCCCAGGGTACAGTTTTGGGGCCAGTGCTATTCCACTTGTATGTAAATGATCTTCCTCGCTTACTATCATCATCGGTCTTGCTATATGCTGACGATGTCAAGATATGGAGAACGATACGATGTAAGGGTGATAACTTAGTACTACAAAATAACCTGAAGAATTTATCCGAATGGTCTCATACCTGGCAGCTGCCGACAAATACTTCCAAGTGTATTGTGATGCATAAATGGTTCAGATGGTTGCGGACGGAATAGAAGAAGCTTTCGCTTAACAGGCTTCCGTGTCTAGTAGCAGGGGATCACCAATACCTCCAGGCAAGAACCTGGGTATATTAACGATAAAAGAGAAAGAAAATGAATTGGTAAATCATAGTAGGATACTATCCTTAGTCCTTAAGAATAGATCAAGTCGCCTCTTAAAGGACTCCTGGGAAGTTGCTTGGACTAGCTCAGCTGGCAGCGAGTTCCAGCATTTGACAACTCTTAAGGAGTAGAAATTGTGTCTGCAGTCCGTTCTACTATGTTGTATCTCCAGTTTTTGGGTGTTACCCCTTAGGTTAGTGTTGGGACTAAGCTTAAGTAGGTGTTTAAGAGGGTGTCCAGGTGTGTTAAGGATACTGTAAGCCATTAGAATGTCACCTCTAAGACGCCTATACTCTAATGGGTAAAGGTCGAGTGATTGGAGGCGCTCATCGTAAGGTTTAAATTTGAGTCCCTGAACTGATTTCGTGACTCGTCGTTGGATACGCTCCAGAGTGTCCTTATCCTTTTGGAGTGTAGGAGGGAATACTATGTTCCCGTACTCTAAATGGGGACGAATGAAACTATTGAAGATTATGTGGAAAGTTCTCCCGTCAAACTGACAAAAATGCGCTTCAATGTTACCAGTGCAAGGTTTGCTCTAAAGGCATTTTTGTCACAGTTGGCGTAAGACTTTAAGTCGTAGGGCACCAGAACTCCTCAGTCTTTTTCGACTCGGGATACTACTAGAGAGGAGTTTCCTAAGTTGTAACTGTAATCTGCGACGTGTCGCAGATGGACTACTTTACACTTTGAAGTGTTAAAGGTAAGTCCGTTATCATCTGCCCAACTTTGAAGTCGAGTCAGATCCTCCTGAAGTGCCTGTATGTCCTCTTGGTTGCGTATCTCTCTCCAAAGTTTCACGTCATCGGCAAAGAGCAGTATGTCTGACGTTACCTGTTGAGGAAGATCATTTATATAAATCAGGAAGAGGAGAGGTCCTAGTACTGAGTCCTGGGGGACCCCACTAGAACATTCCATAGCGCGTGAGAAATTGAAGTTTACCCTGACCTTAAAATGTCGATTTGTGAGGTATGAACTGAGCCAGTCAATTAAAGGTGGTTTGATTCCCAATTGTTTGAGCTTGTTAATAAGACATGTGTGGTTAACCCTATCAAAAGCTTTAGAGAAATCAAGGTAAATAATGTCTACCTTCCCCTTGCGATCAACGATGCTTGTCCATCTGTCCACCGCGGTCAGCAGGTTCGTCATACAGGAATAACCCTTCCTGAAACCATGCTGTTGGGGTGAGAAGAAATTTAAGGACAGCAGATAGTCATGTATATCATCGTATACCAGGGACTCCATGATCTTTGAAGGTATAGAGAGAAGGGCCACCGGTCGGTAACTTGAAGGTTCACTGCGTCGACCTCCTTTGAAGATTGGTGTGATATGAGCCAGCTTCCAAATATCCGGTAGTTTGCCCCGACTTAGCGAGTGTGAGAACATCACGCTAAGCGTTGTTGCCAGGATTGAAGCTGCTTCCCTCAGTATAGCAGAGTGGACCATATCTGGACCAGGAGAAGTGTCTGTTCTTAGGTGTTGTAATTTACGGAACACCAAGTCAGCGCTCAGTTTCACTACGGAAAGTCCTGTGCAGTTGCAGACAGAGCCGACATCAGTATAGTTGATGTGGGTCGGCTGAAATGTCCGGGAGTAGTGCTCAGCCAGAAGGTTAGCGGCGTCACCGTCATTATCTGTCGGGCCGTTAGGACCTAGCAGTTGAGAAACTCAAGTTTTGGCTTGACGAAGAGAGGCTGCGTAACGGAATAAGCTTTTCGGATTGGAAATAAATTTATCCATAAGCTTTAACTGGTACTGAAGCATGCATATCGGTCATCAAGGTACAGATATATACACGATGAATAACACTGAGCTACCTGTTGTCCAGACACATAAGGACTTAGGATTCATCGTTAGCCAAGATCTGAAAACTACTGTACACTGCTGTGCAATAGCCGTCAAAGCTTTTAGAACTTTATGGTCAACACGTAGGGCTTTTACTCATGTCGACGCGCAAACGTTTTTGACAGTGAGCTTTTGGAAAAGGTCCAGAGAACAGCAACAAAGCTGATTCCCGGAATAGCGAAGCTTCCGTATGATGCTCGAGTGGCCAAGCTAAACCTCTTCCCTTTGTCATATCGTAGAACTAGAGGCGACTTGATTACAGCTTTCAAATTGCTTAGTGATAAAGTTGCACCTGATATGCCCTCATTTTTCTTGCCTTCCAAAACAGAGAGTTTACGAGGGCACTACAAAAAAGTTCACAAGTCCAGAGCAAATTACTTATCAGCTGATTATCAACTTTCCCACCGAGTCATCAACGAGTGGGATTCATTACCTCAACACGTGGTTGAAGCTCCATCCGTAGATTCTTTCAAAAGAAAGTTGGATCAACTGAGAGAACACGATTGCCAGGACTAACACAGACCATCAAGCCTCCTGTCCTTTCCAAACTTAAACTATGCTTAATTGAGCGATTGATACGAGTCTTTAGTTTATTGACTGAAGGACAAATACTTTTCTCAACTGTGAAATCACCCTAATGACGATGACAGCCATCTGATATGGGCGCTTACTTTATTTTATATGCAACCATATATTTTGTTCCCTAAACATCCCGAGCTCTCAAGTTTGGGGAAACTTAGAGAAACGACTCTCACCAAGGTTATAGGGGAATTTCGGGGAAAGATTGGGAAATTTTGGAGTTTTTGTACCATATCTCTAAAATTTCCCTAAAATTTTCTATAGCGGCTTCCCCAAAATTGTGAGCTCAAGATTCTATGTTAGGACACTTATCAATTCAGAGTTTTCTCCTTAAAATTGTTGGGCTGGACTCTATATTAAAAGTAGTCATATAATTACTTATTCCGCTTGTAGAATAATGCAGAGCAGATAAAGAATACTAATGTTAGGATATGTCTTGAGAAGGCCAAACCTATAGAGATTGCTATTTAAATCTCATTGATAATGGTGTTGGCAAAAGCGCAAGACTGTGCTTATCTTGATTATTATCATACTAACCTTATGGCTAGTTGTAAAAGCAAAAATTTGAAGGAGTTGAAATTGTGTAAAATTTCGGATTTGTTCGACTTAGAAGCAAAAACAAGAGATTAAGACGTTTATTAATATTATCATCGCAACTTTTACACGATGAGACAAGTAAAGTTGCCTTGGTTATTTTTTGAAGTAAATTAGCCAAAGAACACAAATGCTGATTCGTGATGACAAGGAGCTACGTGGACAACTACCACATTTCAACCACATATGAGTTTTTTATGACTAGTTCTCTTTTTGTCGGGTCGGCTGTCTGAAACACTATACAACCAATGCTGACAATACCTTGCATAAGCGTTGAGTCATTATTAGTAAGAATTGTTTCCTGAACTTCATTTTTCCAGGTTGTACAAGCCATCATTGGACTATACATTGTACTAACGCTTGTTCAGTATATCGACATAAATCTCAAGAGCTCCTGATACACTTTTGATTGGTCATATACGAAACAAGGCCACTGCTGACCAAGCAAAACCGATGCAGTCAGAGTACAAGTTATTAAAGTTTCCATTGACAGAATCTGAACATTAAGTTTGAAAGAAAAATATAAGTCAAAGACAAACAGAGTGCATTATTAGGTGGCATTTTTCCAATCTCAAACTGTCACCATGGCATAAACAGATAAATAAGTTTCATTCCCCATTTTAGTTATAATAAGAGATTTATGACGATCAAATAAAGAATATATAGCTCGTTCTCTTCATAATTCGATTGTCTATTCTTTGAATTTATTATCCATAGATATTTATTCTGCTGTTGTGTTTCATTGGAAATCAACTAAATGAGTCGATTATATGACAATTATGAACCAACAGTGATTGATAAACAGTTACTAAATGATGCTGTATTTTCATTATTGCAAAAAGGAACTGTCAGCGAACTTGCTAAACAAGATGTAATCCATTTTGAAAATGTTACACACCTGAGATTGGATTATAAAAGTAAACCATTTTCTAAGTATTTTTATGCAAACAATTTACTAGACATTTTAAAAATCGATAACTTGTGGGCATTTAAGTTACTCGTTAAGTTGCAGCTTGATAATAACATCATAGAACGAATTGAGGGAATCGGTCATTTAATTCACTTACGTTGGCTTGGTAAGAGTGTAATTCGATGGTGAAATATAATTACTACTTTCATAATCCCTTAGATTTATCATTTAATAATATTGAAAAAATTGACGGCTTACAAAATTTGGTAAATTTAGAAGATTTAACATTGTACAATAACCGAATTACCACATTAGAAAATATGGAAAATTTGAAAAAATTACAAGTGTTTTCAGTTGGTAACAACTATATTACTGAATTGTCTAATGTAAGTAAAACACTTCATTAGTATGTGTTTAAGAGTTTAGATGGTAAGAATATGATTTCCAGATTTCACTTTGATTAGATTTTATAATGATGTTAAGAATACCACTGAAATATAATCTACTGTACGTTAAATATATGTTCCTCATTTATATCAATATCACCTTCGACTTCCAAATTTTGACAATTCGTCTCTTTCGCTGCGATGACTAAATGAATATTTTCTCCTCATAACAGTGTTTTACTGTTCTACTCGTTTTTCTTAACTCATTTAATTGACAAATTAACATAATGAATTTGGTAGAAAATATAAATATACTTTAAGTAGATAACATAATCAATTGAACCCAAAGATGTAGTGGCATTTACATCTTTATTTGTTGAAGCCTTATATTTGGGGAAAAAATTCTGTGACATAGATAAAAAATTAATAAAATCCACATACATGTTCGATTCAAAAATTTAATCGAGCAAACAAATCGTCTTAGTTCAGTCTCTGACCAAGAATTTCAACGTTTCGAATCTACTCTTCTCGATAGCTGCAACCAGTATATTAGCACAAAAGTAACAGGAAAAAGTTTTCTAACGAAAGAGCATAGAAATCAACTAAAACCACTTAGAAACAACAAAGACTTGATTATAACACATCCAGATAAAGGTGTGGGTTTGATGCTGCTACACCGCAAGGTTTGTGTCGAAAAAATGATAAAGTTATTATCAGATGACACGAAATTATCAGAACCAATCGATGAGAAAAAGAAGACTAAAATTATAGAAAACAACTGATTGAAGTTCTTGGGAGAATGAAAAGTGATCAGTCAATCGACCAACATGTCTTTGAGTGCATAAAACCAATAGGACTAATAATACCGCGGTTATATTGTCAGCCAAAAATACACAAATCTGGCCTACCACTCAGACCAATGCATTGCCAAAGCAATAGCCATACATCTGGAAAAAAACAGAATTTTGTGTGCAAAAAAGATTGGTACAACCTCTTCTTCGTACTCTTTAATTTACAGCCATCTGCTTCCCCTTCTATCTTCGCCTAAAGTCTTCTACCCTCAAATGGTTTATTTCTGTTTCTACGATCCTCCTGAATACATTAATATTTTACCTTATCATGCTCAGCCATACTGTCCCAATGATAATTTCTCTATCTATCTTTTGATGAAAACAAGCCACTAACAATAGACGATTATTATGATTTTCTTGCTTAAAATTTTTTTCATACCTTTGTTTATTTTACCTCACTGTCACTATGTCTAGTAGAAGTTTATTATCAGTATTATTATAATTATTATCATCCGGTAAAAGTAAGTATATATATTAACGATTGTACAGCTTTGAAAATAAAATCGCCGAAAAGAGAACTCTCCTCTGAACTAATCTTTCTTATTTAATGTCTTAGTGGATGTATTCCGTTCACTGAAACCGATTCCTTCTAGTCGCTTGTATCGCTTAATAATATATGTATAAGTATATTATTATCGAATAAGATTTATTCTTTTGGCTATTTGTATTGTCATTAACATTAGTTTGTTTGGTTTCATGAGTATCCATCACTAAACCATATCATTTTATCACACTTTATCCATCGATTAGCAAATTCATTTACTTTAACAACTAAAATCCTCATTCTCAATTAGTCATTCGTCTTAACTTGCTGAAAAATCAGTGCAAAACAAAGAAGTATTACATATGTACATCAACTAGTTGTGTAATTTCAAGATGATACACACTTACATACCCTTATGAGATTGAATCTAGAATATCCAGATCTGACATTAAACAAGATATTTCTTGATTATCGATTTTCAATCATTTATCTACTGTTATCAATCCATATCAAAAACTAACTAATTTAATCAAACTTACCTATCCACCTCTGTATAATATATCACATTTTTTATTTACAAATATTCCAGTATAAAGTTTTGTTCATTAGATGATTAAAAAAATGAATTAGATTAATTCTTTTTGAAATCAATATTTTCATTTAATACAGATAAAATATTTACGTCAATTTCGCCATTTACAATCAGTATGTTTACATGGTAATCCAATTAGTAAAAACGATGACTACAAGTTGTATATTCATGCTATGCTACCCAATCTATTTTATTTAGATTATCAAAGAACCGACGATAAACTTGTGAGCTGTTTGCTGAAGTTCTTTTTTATATTCACCTATTTTATTTTTTTCAATATTTGCTGAGGATTTCAGACAAAAGGATTGAGCTATGACTAGAATTAAAATTCAGTACAGTGAATTATTTCATAATACGGTACTATTATCAATAAAAACACAAGCTAAACATTTTTTAAACTTCAATTAGTGAGTTTTTCAAGGTTTTTACATGCATCTATATACGATCAACGAGGAATAGTTATGTAAACATAAGTTACAAGAAAACATACGATAAACTAGGTAGTAGCTTAGTTATGTGTCAAATTTAACAATCGAAGGTAACTATTCCATGCAAGCTATAAATAGAAATTGTTGCAAATAAACCAATGTGGAATAAACTCATAGGAGATTAAAATAAACTATCAAGTATGTCGGGAGAATAATAATAAATCGACTAAATGTCACGAGTTCATGCAAGCGCATAAATATATTACACATGTAACTGCGAAGAAGCACAATAAGTTATTTGTTCGAAAATGACTCACAATTATATAAATTGTTCAATATGAAGCTAAATAATGACATTTTAGCGGGAAAACTTTTTTTTCGACAGAAGCCTATGATAAAATCGAAGACTATTGAATCACTAGCAAAGGTACCAAAAGTTAGTCATTTCAAGTGTCAAGTGAAGTTGCTTAATAGTCAATAGGTGATAAGAATGCGAATGGCATCAAAAGAAGAGGAGTGAATGGCTGTTCAATAGTCGAATATAAGGAGGAACATATGTCAAAACCTCGATTTGAGAAAGGAATGTTAGGACTATGATAAAATATAGAGTTAAATATATCTGTTCTAAACTCAAAGAGCATGATTGATCTGATAGGTTATCAGAGCTTCCTTTGTGTACCGGTTTTTTGTTCAACTTCCCTTAAAACCAGTTTGTCTAAATGATTCTGAATGAAGATTCTAGTTGAGATAGATAGCAGGCATTCAATAAGTGGTCTATAATCTAATCATTAACTGGTTTTCATTCATCTTTAGATATCAATGCTGAGTAGTTTTCGGATATACTTTGGAAAAGAATACACTTTGTACGGCCAATAAAACATAATCTTCAGGGGATAGAATACTGGCAGATACATAACAGCTTTTCCTCCAATTAAATAACTTATTCAATGACATCTCAAAGACAAACTCCCGCTTTTAATTTATTTTTAGCTTGCTCTGTTTGTTCTCTATCCCATTCTATTTTTTTTGTTATGTTTCGTCATTTTCACCTCTCTACCAATCTCTCATTCAATAAAATCAAAATTTCAGATTTTCTTTTATTGCAGAAATCTACAGGTTATGAAAAATATCAACTAGAAATTGATGAGATTATAAGTGAAGAAGAGACTCAATTGAAATTAAATAAAGAAGTTGCTGAAAATCAAGCTAAAATAGAACTATATAAACAAGCATTTATTGATGGTATAGTTGATGAAAATATTTTTCAAAAATTATTTACTGATGATCCTGATGGCAGAGAATTATTGGTAGTTCCTGAATTGTACAACAGTATTGAATTATATCCTTTTTCTGGTTGACTTATTGAATAGTCAACAGTCATATATTATTTTAAAATGTGATAGACCGAGCAAGTCAAGTAGTATCACGTGCCTGCGCTTGCATCCCATCCAAAGGCCAAGTACTAAAATATGGTAAATAGGGCATGCTACTGGATGAATCCAGTTATTCACATCGCTTAGGTCTTAGCCTTTATACTCCATTCAGCTTTCTACCAACAGCTTCTACGTTGTTACTGACTGACTGACCAACAGCTATTCAGTCATTCTTAGTCATCTCACTCGAGTAGAAGGTTGGACAAGAATACAGGAAGTGTGTTTGTCTGTAAATGAATCAGATGACAGTGGAATGTTATGTTAAAACTAGAAATATGAAAACTATTAAAGAACTGATGGTATCCTTTAAAGTAATAGCCCGACTTATCTCAACTGAGCCAAAGCTCGAACAAGACTATATTCCCACTCAAAACCAATGATCAAGGTAATCTTTGCAGGTATGTCACACATTAATCACTCGATGTTTTAAAATAGACCCAGTCTATTAGTCAATAAAAGGAATGATACACAATTTCAAGGTTAGAGAACCCAACCAAATAATGTTAACACGACTATGGACAACAAATAGTCGGAATTGATGTCAATAGAACATGTTGTTACTTAAATGTGCGAAAATCCTTAAGCTTAATTCCTCTCAAAGTATTATCTGATAGTGTTTTCTAGAAAGATAATTAGAATTGCACGACTAGACAATCCAGCCGGGGAAACACATTTCCAAAATCTTCCCCCTCATCTATAAATCTTCACCTCAAAACTATACACACGTGTCATTTGATCATTATCTGTAAAACAACTGATAACCCGGGAGTAATAGACAGTTCTTCCACCTAATCAGGAACTACATAGTATTGTGTTCCCACTACTCCATTCGAAATTGAACACAAAAACTTTAGACCTCGCAGTGATCACCATGCCTTTAAATGACTAGACTTTTCGGGTGATATCAATCTGTTGTGTTAGCCATATTCCACAAAAAGCATCAACTATATTATTAATGTATGGAGCTTGTGTTTAATATTTATCATAATTTAGAGATTATCTCCTCAAAATGATGAAATTAAACGGTACACAATATTACAAGCAAAGGTGGATGGTGGCTAGCAGTGGAATCCAGAACGTATGTTTCGCCCCATTTGGGACTCGTCACTCGGATGTTTCTGAATCCCAAAGTTGATGTTGACTCCAGGACTCGAACCCAGTACTGGTCGTTCAAGTCGCCATCGCGTAATCCACTTAGCTATTGAGTCCTGTTAGCCACTAGCTAGCCACCATTCATCTTTACATATAATGCTTTTAACTTAAGGAAATGTCGGGACAATCCGCACAAGATGTACATATGCCGATAAGAGACTGATCAATTTAAGTCCTAACCATCAATGTGGAGATTCAAACAAACAATACAAAATGAGGAATACAGTATTTCTTAAAATCGTTCCCTTGGCAAATTTAAACGAACCAAGAGTCCTATTGATTGTATAATACAATGGATTGAATGTATTTCGTTACTTTCTCTTCAGCTACATACAAGCTAATAAGTTTGATTATTTTATAATGAGAAAACATGAATTGTCTATTAATAAGAAATAAAGTGTATAGGATGTGAATTAAGTTAAGAATTAAGGTTTTAACAAGATTTTACAGATTCTTGGGATGAACATTCTGGTACATTCAATTTTTATTACTCAATTTAACAAAGATCTAAGAGGTTCAGAAATAAAAATGTATATGAATTAAACTTACCAAATTGTGATCAAAATAATTAAAGAATAGAACTGAAAAAAGAACTGAGAATGCTTAATTCTCGTCGGTTACGAAGGCGGATAAAGGTTTAACAATTGAATCTTTTTGAATGCAAAAGTCAAATTCAAGTCCTGTAAATGCTATGATCTCTGTGAATTTCATTAAGACAAAGTTAGGTTGTTTGTTGATTATTTTGAATGCAATAGCTTTATGTCCCATATTTAGCAGGTGAACATGATATGTGAAATGTTGTCCAGTTTGATTCAAACACTGCACATTATAAGAGGATCAATGTAATACTTGATAGTAACTGAAGAATGGATTACGCAAAGATATCTACTCGTGTTTGAAACTTTTCATTTGAAATTACATACATCTCAATGACTGATATTATTATTTAAAACCTGAAATTATTATTTTAAATAACTTACAGCCAATTTGTGTATTATCTGCTCACGGACAATTTTTATCAACACTTATTATTCATTGTATTTAGTTGAAATAGACCTCACAACAATTTACTTTTCTTTAATAATCTGTAACTCAGTAGTTTTTTCTTCTATACGTAATAAAGTCAACTACACGTCAATTTCAGTTAGATATCAACAAAACCTGGAATAATTCATCAATGAAATACACGAATGAACATATTTAACAATCTGATTATTGAAAGATTAAAAAGTTATCAAAATCCATCATGACAAAAGGTCATTTATTAGAAATGAAGATTTTATACTAAGTGAAATAATTTTGTGCTAATAAGTTTATGGTATTAAAATCTGTAAAAAAAAATAAAGCGGAAAATATGGGCATTCTTCATTCTAACAAGACAACACTTTCAACTCCTTTACACTCATTAAAAGTTGACAACTAGTATTTATGTCAATGAATAAACTATCATTCCTTATAGGGATTTAAAAGAATTAATACAATATGTAAATTACTATATGCTAATTTTCTTATGTATGAAAAATGTACATTTGAAATAATCTCACCGATTGAAAGCTAAATACCGTCTGAAGTTCTTCAGAGTAATTACCAAGGAAGATAGATCTACACTAAAATCTTATCCAGTTATATTCAGATATTGATTTTTGAATAGTAAGAAAATTTGAATGAACCAGTACTACTCAAAAAGAAAATGCCCAATATTTAAAGAACAATGAGTATATATATATATATATATATATATATATATATATATATATATATATATATATATATATATATAAACCTTAATGTTATCAATAATTCGTCAAAATTCTAGTGAATAAATGAATTTTCTGTCTACTAACAAGAATGTATTCAATTAAATTTTTTTAAAAAATCAAAGAACAAAAGATCGACAGAATTGTTTGATCATTGAATTGTATGAAGAATAAGAAATGTCAAAGAAATGACTGTTATGTTAAACATGAAAAATAAATTTTCTTTATCATTAGATATGACACGATCATAACCTATATACAGTTTAAATTTCTTAATGATATCTAAAATTTGATTATACAATCAAGCCTAGTTGGAAATGAATATATTATTTTCATATAATTTATTGTTCAAGTGTATAATAATGTATTAAACTTTGAGTTATACATTTTAGTTATGTGACCGTTGTTAATACGACCCAAATATGTAAACTAAAGTAGACGAGGAAGGATTTAAATCTGTGATTGACCAGTTGAAAACTGAGTGGTTAGCTCTAATAACTTGAATTATCCATGTATATGTATCATATTTGATTTTTTGATGGTGAAATAAATTTTTAGCATGTGAACTAATAATATATCTGATAGTCATTAATTCATATACACTATTATAAATGTCTATAGAGTAAACTGTTGTATAATACTTTGTAACTTTAAGTTATTAGATTTAAACGAAACAAATTTGAGTAATTTAACAATATCATGAACCATTAACAATTGAACTGCGTTGATCATACTGAGTTAATGTTCACTCAACATGCTATATTTGAACTAGTATTGAGAAGTATAAAACTGAACTTCTTACACTTTTGCATACAAAAGAAAACAAATTTACACTATTGTATTTATTTGTTGAGAATGTTTTGATATCACTATTCACCTTAACTTGTATAATGTATATGAACATTATCAATAACAATGGTGATGATAATAATCTACCTTCTCAGAAAAATTTACACATCAATGTAAATTAGTATTTGAACTTGGTATAAAAGAACATGATAAACGTAATAAAGAAATAGAATCATTTCGAAATTGTATTGAACAAGCGAAAATGTTAAATGCTGAATTAAGTAAAAAGAAAATAAATGAATTTAAATTATATCAGGATAAAGTAAATTTTTAAATACCTTTTTATACTTTGTTAAAATTTAAACAAATTTGTTTCATTGTTTCACTAGTTGAGATCACGAGACCATTAGGTCCTGGGCTCGAATCCAGTGAGGCGCGGTCGTGGATGCGTACAGTTGGATCCCAACTATTGAAATTACTACAATCTCCACAAAACCCCTTCTTATTTCATTACGTCTAATTATATGTTGATCTACCTTATACCTATATGAATTGATGTCAAGTATAGTTGTTAAATGTTTTCTGTCGTTTCATTGACTTAATCGATGTTTATGATTGATGTTTACGGTGAAACTCGAGATTGTTATTTCAAATGCTAGTAATATTTAAGCCCACTAACTTGTACCATCTTCAGGACTCAAGCCAGTTCTATACAGCTATCTTTCATATAACACCATTGTTATATACCTACTCTCCAATTTTTTGTATTCAGTCTCAAAGTCAGCAAATAATGCAAGATGCGGAGATTGCTCAGATAGCGTTCAGAAAATATGACTCAGTCATCAATGTCGATGTTTCGAGATGGTGACACTAATCGAATTATTGTCAATAAACCTAAACACATATTAGCATTACAAAGAAAAGTTGCCACTGAATATTAGGAATCCTTTGAAGACAACGATGTTCGAACACAGACCTTAGACGAAAGTCCCTAGCTCAGAAAGGCCAGGTTTGTATGAAGTTATAACGATAAACTTTTTAAATAAATCTCTGCACCTGAACTACAAATATTTATTCATTTGAAAATAATTATGTCTCAGTAAACTTATTACCCAGTAATATTTTACTGAACACAAAATCCATGGCTCAAAATTTCACATTCGGATGCGTCTATTCTGATGAATGTTTAGCGATAAAGTTCTTATTATTCGTCAAAAATCCTTACATTAAGACGTGGTACTCTTGATAATTGTTCTGAACAGACAACAGTATGTTTATTCTATAGAATAACTTTCAAGTATAATTCTAATTAATCCCTATGCGAATTAAATCAAGTTAATAAGTTTATACAACCAACTTAAACGAGTTTAGTGATGTATGCTACTTATGTTTTTCGAAGTAAGTAATATGTGACACCAATAGCAAGTGGGAACCTTAGTAGCAGAAGGCTGAGAAGATTAAATTGAAGAGAATAGAAATAAAAATAGAAAGGAATTGTGAACTGGAAGAAGCATACAGAATGTGAAGGACAAGTGATGGAAATTTTCAGATGAAGTATTTATTGTATGGTTCTCATATCTTACGAATAGATTCTGTAATTTTGTATTTAAATACATCTGGATATCCCCATTTGTGTTCTCGTCCATTACAGTGTTAATAAAATAATACACCAATGAAAAAGCATCTATATTCAGAAGATAAAGCTCATAGTACATTGCTTTGTTTCTTTTATTTTAATTTTCTTTTAAATAGATATTTAAAGAACTTCTAGAGAATACTGATTTGATTAAAGTCGAAGATGATATTTTAGATTATAATGAGAATGTACAACAATTATGGAACGAATTAATGAGAAATGAATCAATTTTAGTTGAACAAATTGATGAATTAATTAATGAATTTGAATTAAACTTAAATGATATGATCAACACATTTATTGAAAATGTTGAAGTAAGTACGAAATACCAACGTACATGAAGTCAATTCTTAATGATATCCTTAAAAGTACAGTGATAGTGTCTTTTAATTATGGCAATGAATCACCTAGTTTCAAATTTCTAGAATAATGACAATCCCTATAATTTCAGATAAATAGTATGATGCGGAATAAAACTTAGACTTCTTTCTCTGTGTGTTTCCAACTACCAAGGATCAAATTATGTATAAACTCACTAAGATGTTTCCCGAAGGTAAAGCGAAACAGACCTTATTGCAAAATCGAACAAATTATACCTACTAAAAATAATTTGATAGAACTTTTACTTATGTGTTTAGCTACTCGTCGACGCTTTACTGAAAACCAAAAGGATGTAATAATTATGCGGAAAAAGTGCTGAATATTAAGCGTGTATATACCGATTCAAACTATCAAATTAAACAGAAACGGATGGTGGCTAGCATTGGAAAAAAGTAGTAGTCCTAGACAGGATGGTTTAAACACTGGAGAAACCTGGGATTTCTTTCACATTCACTGATCATCACTGTGTATAGATCACTGTCTGTTGATAGGTAAAATATATGCCCCAGCCATCTACTAGTTTTATCGACTACAGTTTTCCAATATCCCTCTGAAGAGTATTCACTTCCATACAAGCGTGAACTTACTAAGGGCTAAATGTGAAACTTTTGAAAAAACACTGGTCACAAAATTATGAGCAGAGATGGATGGTGGCTAGCAGTGGAATCCATCATGCATGTTTCATCCCATTAGAGACTCGTTAGCTAGATGTACCAGAATCCATTTCTGCTTAAAATACTTGTAACTTACTGGCAATATCGAGGAAATCCGCACAGGATGCATAAATGCCAAAAGAATACATGAGAATATTAATGCCGATAGTGATAAAAATGCTAAAAATGCAAGAAGTAATTAAAGAGATAAAACGAAAAGTTATTAAGAATTAATACGTTCATAGTCACTAAAAGGATTTTCATTTGCATCGTCAACCAATTCCAGCTTTTAATAGAATAAGTTTTTAGCAATTCATTATGATCGATTATCGGACTCAATTCAAGAAAATTATTATTATTCACTTGTTTTACGCCAACATCCAGTTGTTTCACGGATTAATAACGACTGTTGATCTGGTCAGGGCATTCTGGTCTTATGAGTAAGGCATTTATCCACTAATGGCACTGGATAACGAAGTTCTGGATATCGCGCATTGGTTGAAGTTGAAAATGTGAACTACTTGACTCTTACACAGTCATCTGAAGGCAATGCACTCAGTGTCAAGGTAATGAGATCAAAACTCGAAGAGGCTATGGATGCACACTGTCTGGAGTCCTAAACTAGGATGGTTATCCAGTCTTTTATGGTTCCCCAGTTGATATTAATCTGTGACAAAAACCGAATTCAAATGACGATTTTATTGTTTTACTTCAATAACTGACTAATGACTTTTTTCTCTTCATAGAAGGATTTTATTTCAGATGAATTATTTTTCAGGAACATTTTACTGAATGTCGCGAATTACAAACTCAGTATCATGAAAGGTTGATAGATCTATGCCCAGGTATTTTAGAACGATTTATGCGTAGTGACTTTCAAAGTGAACCATCAGATGCTCTTTTAGCCGTAAGTTATAAAATCATAAACAAAAGAACGGTTATTTACACTGATTAATTATTTTTGCTTTGCTTTTTTTTGGTTTGTTGTAACGGGAAACAAACTACTGGTATTTTTGGAAGTGGACGAGAAATTTACTAGTCAATATCTCAAGCCTGTTTATAGTTTGACGACAAATTGATTAACGTTGGAGACTAAACAGTATGTTAATTAGTACTATACGATAACTCATGCATAACTTTTGAATACTTAAGTGCAAAATCTTTTTGATTGCCCACTTTGTTACGCGGGTAGGAGTCTCTGAAGTACGAAGAGTTTCCTGGAGGTTTCATTGACGCCATCGTAATGAATGTTATTGACCAAAATAAATATATGAATGAAATTAGTTCGAATTGTTAATAGATGAGCACTTGGTGCAACTTGAAATAGTGATAACTAAACTGAGTGAGTAGTTTCGTTAAAGTCTCATCAGAGTCAGCATTTAAATATGATCGTTTCCCACTTAGAAGCAGGCATATGTCAAGAGATAATACAAATATAAAGGCACCAATTATATGTAGAGTTAACTAATTCGGAAACTCGAGAACTATATAACGATTCATTTGAAAATTTTATGTCAAAAGTACACAGTAGGTTAACAAGTTTCACTGGTTGATTGAGCGTTAAACACAGGGTGTAAATACAAGAAAATTTTTTTAAAATATGGGGTAAAAATATTTTTTATAAACGATTCTTAAGTTCATGAGTCTTAAATTATCGTATTCAAAGTAATCAAATACAAGTTTTATGAAGCAATGTAAGATTGGATTTTTCAGCTTTCAAGCTCATAGGTATCCAAGAACGATATGATAGTGTTACCGTTTCTTCGGTACATAAATTTCCGGAATTATTTTGACAAAAGACGAATCAATAATAATTGTAAGAAGTGTACTTGTTTGGAAAGATAATTCAAGTGTAGTTGTTAAATAGCATTTATCAAAATTCATAAAAATTTTAATTCGTTGAACAACATACATTAAGAAATGTTTATCGTAAGTTCCGAAAGTTTTCGTAGATTTAAAAATAAGATCTAGTTGTTTTTATATAATGAGCAAAAAGTTGTGGTGTTACTATTTAAACAACCAATTCGCGAGGCGAGATCGCGGATGCGCTCTGCTGAGTAATCCCACACTAGGACGAAACGGCCGTCCAGTGCTTCCAGATTTTTCGTAGTGGTCTAGCTTCAATTGGCCCATAAACTCAACTAATAAAATACCATAATATCTATAAAAACCCGTCTGAGAATAACCTAAACTTTACTTAATTTTAAATAGATTATTGCTCTTAAACTAAAGCTTCAGGGAAGTCTATTTTATGTCATCGCTAAGTAATCAATCTACGTGTGCGTATTTCTCGTCATACCTCCATGCATCTACAAAAAAACTAGTGTTTTATTTCTAATTATTACAACTTCATTGAAACATAAGTTTTATTGCATTTTCTCTTTTTGAAAAAATTACTACAGATTTTTATTGATAAAGAAAGTGTAACGAATGCATTAACAGCTAGTAACGATGCTCATTTACTTAAAATTGATGAATTCGCTGATGAAATTAATGAAAAAGCGAAAAAATGGATTAAAGAAACAATTACTTCCATATATTCCGGTGAAAAATATGATCGAAACAGAGCGAGAGTAATGGAAATAAATCATTTTATAGATGCATTAAGAAATGACGTTGAAAATTTAGATATACCTGCATTGGGTGAATCTTGAATATCTATAACATGGTATTCCTTGGGAAACTATCTGGTAGTTTTGTCAAATGAATAAATTTAACTATATTTATTTAAAATTAATCTTTTTTTGATTGCACAGACTAAATAATCAATCCACTATTCAATGAATGATAAGTATTTAGACTATGTATAAATAAACACATTTGTCATTAATTAATTACTCATTGTTCTTAGTTGCTAAGAAACTGTATAGTCTTCTGGCCGCCTTAAGCAATAATACAATGTTTTGAAGATTTTCTACCTCGAAACCCAAAATATTGCTCCAAAACTGATTTTCTTCAGTGCCTATCGACCAACCCACTTTTCTTGGAATTCTCAAGTTTGGTAGGTTAGTGTCTGATGAAATATTGGATAAAATTCATGAATCTCAGTTAGTCTTTGCCAACTTGTGTCACTTAGAAGGTAATAAAGGTGTCCATCTGCCAATTAAGGGATAAGTTTACTGCTCATCAGTTCGCTGTTCAACCTTAAGGATATGATGCATGTCTACTACGAATCGAGAATATTCGTCACTTACTAGGTGTGCTCGAAGCACCGCTTGTGTATTAACAAGTGGGCGATTCCGGAGTTAAAAACAAGGTATTAAGTAGAGATGGCAAATCGGTTGTCATAAGCTGAGCTGGCTGAAATGTGTATTACGTATTTCCCGCTAATGTCAACCTCGATAGGTGCCGTCTGGCATACGATTAGGTTCAAATAAAGCTAGGGGCCACCATGTCAAGACATAGCATTGGTTCATAGTGACTGGCAATTGGACTGAGCCATGTAAACACTACTTGCTTAGCATGCGCGTGTTTATCATAACCTGTGGTTAGAAATTCAGTGATATGGCTCAGAATTCTTCTTAATGGCGCAGGTGCTTCAATCTGTTTCCCTTAAACCCTCAGTCACGAAGTCGCCCTACAACCTTTTCTTTTTATGCCCAATCTCTTCCACTACTTCCGCTACTGTTATCACTTTAGAATTTTCTTTAGTAATTTTACCTCACTGCGCTAATATGATATGGCGATTTGGACCGATACACATAGCTAACTGACTTTCTCATGAGGTAAAAACGCCCAAACCTACTTAGAAATGTCATTAGGTCGGTTGTCTAATTAAAGGATATGTATTTCTCTTTTTTCCAGTTTTATCGGTAAATACTTTCCGAAAATCAAAATACAGCTATAAAGATTATGTTTGAGTCAATAATTCTTCAGTTTTAGCCGCGATAAGGCAATAAAAAACACTTACATTTAAGCGTTCATCAACAAACTAGATGATCCTTTGAAATGAGGCATGATATCTCAGTGAAATTCTCCATATAATCGACACTTGATTAAAATTCAGAAAACCTTCGTTGCCAAAACTATCTAGTATCATTATTGCACATTTAACTTTCAAGATTTCAACTAATATTCAACCATGCTAGCACAAAATGAAGAAATTGCTCGTATTGGATATTATGACCACACTTATATTTCATTTAATGGGACGTACAGGTGATTATTTTGTTTCAGATACTCACTGATATTGCTAAGTTTGTGCATGAGTCCGTTCTTTTGTCCGTCAGATGGATGGAGTAGATAAACTGAATGCACTGGAACAGGTTACAATACAGAAGAAAGCAATATTAACCACACAACTATTAACTAATATGTAATAGTCTAATTGACGAGAGCTAAAGGCGGTAACGGGATTCTCATCGGTGTTATTAGGACATATACAGTTTTTTTATCTGATAGTAAAAAGATCCTCTCTATTAACAACAATTGTCGATTCTAATTCGATAGGTGCACTAGAAAACATTGTTTACCTTTGAAACAACACAAAAATACTGATTGTAAAGGATTCATTAGGATAAGAGAAAAATGAGGTGACTCTGTAATGGTACCCATACTACAGAATAGAGATGGTGAAGAAGACAGATCTTAGTGATCTAGTTTAAGACAATTAATGAGACTTGAAAAATTCTAGCTTAAAATCATAATGGTTCTAGAACTGAGAATTTCGCTTCACCTAAATACTACACGCCAAAGTCTATGAATGCATGAAAACTGTATTATCTCTTATAGCTATCCAAACTAACTAAAACTATTTCCATTTGATTGAACAATGAGTTATAAGATTTCAGATGTAGTAGTACTGGCTGCCATAGAAAAATCAACATACGATAGAGAAATAGAATGTATGAAGTTGGAGAAATGACAAAAGATGGATGCTCTATCAGAGAAATATAGATAACTTCATTATGATTTCAATTTATGAACACCACTTCATCAACAAACACAACTTACTTTATATAAGTAACCTTTCACAAGAAACCCAATCAAAACATTTGTATTCAACTTACAAAACTGCAATGTTAACGTTCAAATGAATATGAATTATTATTATAATATAACTACATAAGCATACATACAAGCAATCACTAAAACAAACGTTAGATTAACATTCAAAGTATACATTAGGATATTTAAAGTTTTTCTTATTTTCCAAATTTTTAACAAAGATTAAAGTATACAAATAGATGTAGTGTACAAAATAAACATTATACATATAAAACGAACAAGTGAGTTTATCAGTTAGTTGCCTGAAATTGTTTGAGTGAAAGTTGTCTGGAAACAATGGATTACATAAAGAGTAAGTTCATCTTTAATTTCTTACAAATAAAACCAAGACAAAACATCACATGGGATAAATTCAGTATGGAAATTCCCCACAAAAACAGTGAACTAAAAGACGATGAATGTGTATAACCACAAGGTTAGAGATGAAATAAATTTGAGCAGTTTGAAAAATGACGACTAAATATAATTGATACCACGTATCATAAACAACCTTAAGGATTAATGAAAATAATAATACTAAGTAGATTTTTTTTAATACTGAGAATAAGGACAGGGTATCATGTGCCTTTACGGGATTTATCTTCCGTGGATGGTACTAACAATAAACTACTCTGTACACTGTAATTGTCAAAAGAACTACATCGGCTACTTCCACCACCATCGGTACTTTTAGCACTATTCAATTGACTACTTGTACTACTTGTCGATGCACATGATCCAACGGAGCAAGTATCAGAAACAGCAGAACTATGAACGCTGCTATTGATTGTGGCCCCTGCTGTACTTCCTGTTGTACTTTCACAGCTAAACCCAATAGGAGTAAGTAACGTCGTCCCTGTACTTCCAGTTACAGACGAAGGACTTGCACGTCGGTTTCGCTTGCTTTGTGGGGCACCAGGTCCAATAGGTGGAATCAAAATACGCTCTACTGATGTATCAGCGGAAGAATCACACATCTTAAGATTTTTGGATAATTCTAAACTTTGCTGATGTTGCTCTACATTATTATTAGAAAGTGGACCAGACATCACTTCTGACATTTCCTCATCATGTTTTTCGGCTGCAGGAGATTTGTTCGTCCCATTTAGAAGCTGATTAGAATCACCCATCACAATATCTGCTTCATTATCAATCACTTTTGGCTGAGTAGCAGAGCAAGCTAACATAACAGTATGTTGACCACCCGCGTCAATCATTAAAACTCGACTGCAAGAAATATAAGATAACTCGTTTTAAATAAGTGTTTAGTTGAGTGAATTCATTGCAAATACAGCTTGTGTGAAAATGATAGTATATTACAAAAAAGACAACTAGTAATTTTTTAAATCCTAATTCGCTACCCCAAGTCTGTAAGTCTTAAATATAGGACGGATATTTGATCATAGATGTATTCAAAGAATTGTTTGTATGTGATGAAATAACTCGTTAGGTGATAGTGAGGGTAACCGCAAGTGAAAGGTAATGGAGAAGCTATTCAGATTATGACATAAACCTTTGTTGCCGAAAGTGAATGAACAATGTTTTACACACGCTAGGTAGAGCGTTTTATTGAGAATCTAACTGCTTGCCAGAACTAAGTATTAAAATGACATTTACTAAACACTCTTCTTTAAATACATTATACCACTTTGAAAGTAATATAATTTACATTCACTTTCTCGTACATTGATTTTCCACTCGAAGATGGATAAGCTTAATTCCAATAACTTTAACGCAGAAATATACTACTTTTTATCTTAAAATTTGGATAGGAAAGTCCAACACGACAGCTTAAAACTAATCTTCAACCAAGCTTATTCTAATTGAAGCGATGAGCTACGCTTTATCGAATAAACGTTAAAACATGATAAAAGCGGAAATCTAAGTCACCATATTTTTTTAAAAAACTTCACCACTACAAGTAATTTTAATCATAAATATCCATGTTTATGAGAAACGAAGGAATCCACTTTGTTTTTTATTTATTTATTTGAACACATAAATATTGGTTCAAAGGAGCACCGAATACATATGTGCCACACAAGTCACTTCATTTGTGTATGGGCTGTGATACTGCCCGGGTGCCCAGACCGAAGCAAATGGTTTTCATAGGGAGCCACACCTGGAGCCTTCGACCTAAAGGTCCGATCTACAAGGCAGTGAAGTAACGTAAAGAGATGCAGTCCCATGGTAGCCGGTCACTAACGATTGGTTCATACGCCATTTGTTCCTTCAGGGTCCTGTAGCCCATGTGCACCATTGGCTTGGAATCAGAGTGAATCAGATCTTAATTGAAGTGTTTAAATGTAACTGGAAAGTTTGAGAGTGATTAAACTAGCTAATATTGTTTAGCATGAATGCTGAATACGTGAAATTGAAAATCAAACTAAATCCATTAGAAATCATAATGATTAAGATTTCCAATCAAAAGAAAGATTAGAACTACAAAGTACACCTCGTAAAAACGTTTTCACATGGACAACAAACATATCCAACCAACCTATGAGCAAAAGATATGTTTTATATTTAAATGTAAACACTCAAATATCTTACCGATCTTCTAGTTGTTTTCCTACCATCAACTCTGGTTCCCAACAGTCATCTTCTTTGTCTCCATGGCCAAGTTGATGATTGCTACCCATACCCCAGGAGTAAGCGAGACCTGTGAATAAATAAATATAATAAAATACACCTAACTTGATAATATTATGTACAAAAGATTTTTATTATAGAATTCCAGTTAACTTTCTACAGTGCTTGAATTGGTTTGGACTACAAGTTTAAACCTGGTAACGAGTGGGATAAATAAAAGGCTGAATAACAGGAACATTTGAGTACCATCTATTATTTTATTTATTTTATTTTAACACATAGGTATTGATACAAGGAGGCCCCAAATACATATGCACCACACAAATCTCAATTGATTTGTGTGAGGGCTGTAATACTGCCCGGGTGTCCAAACCAAAGCAGGTGGTTTTCTTAGGGGGACACACCCGGAGCCTTCGACCTGAACGTCTGACCCACAAGGCAGTGAAGCATCGTGAGGAGATGCAGTCCCATGGTAGCCGGTGACCAACGATTGGTTCATACGCCATTTGTTCCCTCAGGATCCTGGAGCCCATGTGCACCATTGGTTAGGGATCCAATTAAAGCGCCGGAAATTCGCTTTTCCTTCTCTCATTTTTGTAAACAACACCCTCGCCACGAGAAGGCAGTGAGTAGGACTTCCCTGGCAGAGGCTGTATACGTGTAGCCATGTGAGAGCATTTCGAGAGGGATAGCGGACTCTAGCCACTCTCGGCCGGTACCCCAGAGAATACCTAGATGAACCCCTTTTATATAAAACTCAGCAATTTCGTTAGTCGTTTGGCAAAATTATGAGTAAGCGATCGATACATTGGTAAAATCTGACGTGAAAGACAGTTTAATTTATGAATTTTAGGTGATCCATATAAATGAAAATATTTGGAAACCAAAAGCTTTAAGAAAATAGATTTTTCTCCATCTATAATGTCCATGTATATCTGTTTTTAAACAGACAAGGGGTAGTTGAACTTCCGTATACCTAAGGTTTTAATAAACCCATTCTCCACCATTATTAAACATATAGCCCAAATAGGTTTAAAAAAATTATCTTAACTCAACCTCTGTAGTTCCACATGAAGTTATCTAAAGCGAATACTTGGGTTTTTAGAAGCCTTAGGTAAACGAACGTTCAACTCTCGTTTTTACCTACACTAAACCTACCCTGATAATATTCGTTTCGTATCTACTAGCGCGGTTCACATTGTTTCCATCATTATCTTATTTTTTTTCATCTTTCAATTTGTCTAGTTTACTTACCAGATAAAAATGTCTTAACAAGTAAATATGTGATCAGACTGGTTAAAATATATTGCACTAATATATATCATTTAGTTTTGATAATCATCTCATTGGATTATCAAAAGGACAAACGGTTTTAGATTTCTGAAAAGAATAATCCCTCTACACACTACTAAAGAGTCAAATTAACTGGTTAACCAAGTGTTAAATGGTATGTAAACGAGTGAAGCTGGATATTAAAAATTTTCTTGACAAACCATACATTTCCAAACCAATCATAAAAGAGAGTACATTCTAGTAATCTGGAACCTAATTTCTTAAATCTTATTTGACTTATTAAATTACATTTAGGAAATTATCAAGAAAATTCAAACAAACTCATCTAACTCCACATTTATGCATCACCAAAATTGTCATTTGTATGTCACATAAAATTCATAAATTTTTGTACTACCATAGTTGCAAAAACAAAAGAAAGGATTAAGCTAAAGCTGAATAAATCTTGTGGTGATAAAAATTATACTAATTTATTTCCATTCAATACTGATAAATAGGTAACTACTTTACCTTCTGTCGTATTGTCTGTTCAAGGAAAAGAGGGACTAATTTGGAACTAGTTTTTCTATCCTTATGATACGAATGCCTGACCTGATAATTAATGCTCAATTTGAAAACCTATGTGATTAATTAAATACTCTTGTCCCTACATCTTTAGACAATCGAATTCGGTGCAAAACTGAATTACTGGGCATAACTCATTGATTCTATAAGTCTGGAAAGAGGTATAGAAGTATACTAACTTATCAGCATTTTGCAAGCACTAAAGGAAACACTGACTAACCCTGATATTGCTCTGCCCAACCAGAATGAATACCTGTAACTTCTAAGACAGATGAAAAGATCACCATATACACGACACGGTGAAATATATGAAATCTATCATACACTGTCAACCTTATTTTTTAACATAAAAATTGTTAAATTGGTTTTGAAATTAGACAAGGCAACTTTAGTTTAGAATAGATGAGTCAATATTTTCTAAACTAACCTTTAGTATCAACCGCAAATGAACATACTTCTCCACAACCGATCCATGAGCAGACACACTCACTAAGTGCACCAAGCACGCGTGTAGGTTTGTTTACTGAAATTTTCGATCCCTTCAAATCACACCCCAAACCAAGACGACCGTAATCTGGTCGACCAACAGCGTACACATGACCTACAAAAGCATGACATGGTTAGTTGTGAAACTTAAACCTATTAAAACTCTGAATAAAAAATAAACACCTACAAAACAAGAATTACATAATCTACATTTATGAACTAAAATAATTCGAAAACATGCTAGGAAACATCGTATTATGGAAAAGAAATTTGGGGAAAAAATCCGAGATATTAGGCGTCTACAAAAGCCATTAATTATTTCTTACTACATATTTTACAAATCATGAATGATGATAAAGTAGTATACTGACACATTTTTAAGAATATCCAAGAAATAACAATATGATAGCATATCCTACAGCAACGGGATTGTCGCAGGTCCAGATAACCTAATTTGTTCATCTTTCCTTTTTTCCCACCCAGTTCAAAAGCCGGTAAATAATATTATGGAAGTATTCAGGGTGACACACACGAAATTTGACCAAACTACCGAAATTAGTTTTTCAAAGCACCAATACTCGTTCAGTCGTCTACATTGTATCCTAAAATATGTCTCCACACTTTGGTACTAACTAAATAATGTTGCTACAAACTGCGAGAAAAGAGGATGTCAAACATTCTTAGCTTGAAGAGGTCATTTTACAAGCACAGAACATAACTGTTCGTACTGAATCGTTAATCACCCAGTTGTTAGTAATCATGTCCGAGTTATGACTGCACAAAAGGTGGCTTATACTGGATTGTTTCGTTAAAGGGTTTCCTGCAAGAAAAGCAACCTGCTACACCACTAACAGCGCTTATGAAGACAATCAAACACATAACCTTTTTACCGCGAGGAGATTATTCTTCATATGTTCACATAAAAGTATATTATATTTCCATAGTTCGAAGCATCATCGGAACTAATTATAATGGTTCTGACTGATGAATTAAAGGACACTGATGAAAATGAGAAACCTAACACAACCCTGCTGCTGAGTTAAAACAAGAGGTGTTTGTAAATACACACTCTATCTGACATGTTCTAGTCCAGGGTTTTGGAATGTTAGCAAACATATCAGGTGCAATCCTTCCTGATACACAAGCTTATCACCCAAACGAAAACAGCACGGAATTCAGGAAATATAGTGATCGTTAGACCACAATACGGCTGGTGGTATTAAAGCATTTGGTGGAGAGTATAATAGACAAAGCACAACCTAGTCCTTGTAAGTATATTTTTCTTGTTCCATTCAGTCTATGTAGTACGAAGGAAATCATATATTTTCAGACGCTTACTCCCCCACACAAATCGAATGTTTTATGTGGCGCATATCTGTTTGGTGCCTCCTTGTACCAATGTTTATTTGTTTAAATAAATAAATAAACTCCGATGGTCATGATATGCATTAAATAGATTCATTTGTTAGATAGGTATGACAATCACTTCATTCCTAATAAGATCCTTTTTTAAACAATGTAGTCAGCTTATCCATAACAATCCATCCTTGAAAATAGCAAACACCAAGTCGTCCGCGTATCGATTGTTGTACATCATTTCACTTCATTTCGAACTTTCATAACATTAAATGGATTTGTATTCATCGACCAAGGAGAACAAAACATCTTGATCGAAGTTGCTCGGACAACCAAGGAAAAGAACTGTTTTCTATATGTCTCTGGAGATCGCTAATTGTTTCACAGACGTAAAGCTTTTTGTTGCTAGTGACTGATTTCAATTAATATAAGCTGCAGAGGGAGAGTACCATGTAGCAAATACGCGACTAATGAGTTAGGACTCAGTATTGGTCTATCTACGGCACCACTCAACTTGCAAAAGAAGCAAGTGTCCATTAGCACCTCAAAAGATTCTCCTATACTTAGACGCTCAATCAACACTTTGAACTCCACAACCAACACCGCAATATGTTCAGGACATTGAGAAAGTGGTAAAAATCATGTTAGGTTGCAATTAGACAATAATCGTTAGGACTGCTAACAGAAACAGCAAGGCACTGTTTCACTTGTCAATTTCCTAAGCATTTTATCTTAGCAGAAAACTAAATGACTAATGGTTGAGATGTAGTCGCTTGGTGTTCCCTTAACCATAGTGGTTAAGGCGACGTCAACAAGACAATGTCCCTGGATAAAGGCAAGTAAAATATTTTTGAATAGTCAAGTGAATAATAAACTATACGTATCTTACTGAAATTATAATGGAGTCTGAGAAATGACAGTTTAAAATGAGTATGTGGAGCGACATTAACTAACAAAACAGCTGTCGAAATAATCTGAGTAATAATAAAATATACGATCACCAAAAGTCATACAAACTAACACAAAATTGTGTGTAGAATAGCTTACCAAGATGGTTTAAAGCTAGTGTATGATGCATACCGATCGCAAACTGACGCCAATCTTGATCCGGATCAAATCCAAATGCTCGAATTAACATGAACTGGATGAGGGGACCTTGCCGAGCGATTAGCTGGGCCTCCGACCTGTCAGCTTCCTGGCGGTCAGTTACTAACTTTTCAGCATTCTCAGCCATATTCAGTTCGATGTCAGCAAACTCTTCTGTAGAATTACATGAAAGCGATTTTCCATGACCGGTTGTATCGCGTAATGCTAGCTGACCATAATTATTTAGACCACATGCATAGATAGCACCAGTCATTTGACAACGAGCGAATGTAGCGAAACCTCCTGCCCATACATCGGAAAAACGGACGGCCCCACGAACTCGACATTCAGTAGGTTGAAGTAATGAGCCTGAAATTCAGTAATAAAGCACAGGATTACGAAATAGAAAAATCAAGTTGTTACAATATGCTCTTAACATACGGAAAAGTACAAAGATGTAATTCACAATACTGATTCATGGTTAATATTTTAAAAAGTAAAGCACTGTCATTATTGCTCGAGCAATACTAACACATGGGACTAAAGTATGAAGGCATTAGTGACAATAAATATTTCCCCTAGCTTTACTTCCTAACAAAACCACGATACTTAGGTTCACCAGAAGTTCTCTTCAGCTCAATATGAAATAAATAAAAGGTTAAAATCCGGAGAACCTAGTTTTAAATTGAAAAGTTTTATTAGCAAATAGCAGAAATGCTGCACAAAATGCAATGGCGAATCTGCTTAAATCCCCTCTACTTACTCACGGTAATCGATAATTTCTTACCAATTGTTTCTTTATTTGTTTGAACACATAAATACTGGTACAAGGGGGCACCAGATACATATGCGCCACACAAATCTCATTTGATTTCTGTGAGGGCTGTGATACTGCCTGGGTGCCCAGACCAAACCAGGTGGTTTTCTTAGGGGGATAACTAATTATATTTAGAAAAGTACCTTTTGCAAAAGAAAAAAGATAGTTGAGAGATAATACAGCACAGCAAACACGCAAAGGAAATTGATCGGACCTGACATTACTAAAATTACTGACTTTTCGATCTGCTTAGAATAAATTCTTGAGAAAGTATAGTTTACAAATCTTCAGGTATTCTATGAAAACGATTGGTTTAAGATATACACAAGTTTCGATTTCATTAGTTAATAATAGAGATGAATGGATCTAAAACACGGAGCCAAAGAGATCGTCTAATAGATGCCCAACCTGAGTCCAAAAAAGCACATTCGACCATTCTGTTTGCCCTCATCAGCAACAGGTTTAACCCACTCTTCATTAAAATAGTAGCTTTATTTTCGTAAAAGTTCAAACCATATACAATAAAAATGAATGTATATTGATTATACTGCCTGTTTGAATAGGATGTGTATAGACCTATAGCAGTAGTACCTGAAACGAAAGTCATGAGTTTTGGAGCACGTACGTTATCAAGTACAAGTTTATATACTCAGCTGCTTTGTACCATACTTTTTGTGTGATGGCTAATAGTGTCAGCCAATCTTCGGACCGAATTAGGTAGATCACTTTTCAAACCTGGGATCTGATGGCTAAAGAGAGAAGACGATATGGCAATGTAACTACAATACAAGTTTAGTTAATTCGATCCTCTCAATATCAAAATGGAAGGCAAGTTAGCATAAAGATAGCAAGTCAGTCAGTTATACGCAACGTAGGACCTGTCGCATCAGTACATCGAAATTAAGTTGTTAAGGCAAATCCCAGAGTAGTAGAGGTAGTAACAGGATTATTGGTAATAGAAAAGATTAGGGGAGGAAAATATGAATTAAAAATAAAATAAGGAGTAGTGGAATTGAGACAAAATTTATGAGGTAATTTATAAACCTAGGATTGAATAAAAAACAAAGAGTGGATCCAAAGAAAGCAAAAGTAACGATCCAAAACATGAATGTCTGAACGTGGATATAATTTAAATTCGACAACTTTAATGACTGCCTACAGAAACTATCACAAGTCAATTTTCCAAACAGTAGTTTAATATTACGGTAAAAGAGGTAAAGTATATCAAAATGTTTTCCTTACTAATCCCTGAACGACCACCATCCTTAGCAAATCGTTCAGCAACACGACCCAGTTGACCTTGTTCACCACATCCCATAGTGTAGAGACGACCTTCATCCGTCAGACAAACCAAATGGTCTTGTCCAGAAGCAATTTTCACTACGTGTGTACTAGAAGTTAAAAGCGCTGTATTGATTGATCGATTAGATAACTTGGATTCATTGTTCGAAACACCATCATTGTTTTCACTGGAACTGTTCATAGCATAAGCAAGTAATAGTCGCGGAGTTGAACAAATCTCCCCAGGTTGTGTAAGTCCTATAGGACCACTAGCTCCTCGAAACGTTCCCCACAACCATACTTGACCATTGGTATCTAAGGCTGCAGTATGACTATCACCAGCGGAAACCTAAACAGCAAAGAAACAATGAAACGGTTAGTTTACTTATTCTACAAATCCACCAGACAACCTTGAAAATAGTAGAAAGTCATTTAATCACCCTAGAGTAGTACAAATAGTAACGGTATTAATGATTATATAAAATACTATGAATACACGAAATTATCACGGAAGAAAGAATAAATCCGAGTAATCACGTCAGTCAATGAACATTCGCTACCTCATTAATAGATTTATCATACACAAATAGTAGCCTCCATCTAACCTCAGAATTTCTAACTTGGTGGGCCCAAAATACACGAATATCGTCAATTGTTAAAGACTACGTTTCAGTCATAAAGAACAGGATAAACTGCTACTCAGTATACTTGCCTCTTAGTTGATAGATCGATGTATCGTTTACTTCACAAGTGATGTGAGTTGGTAGAAGCTGACCAAGCTTTCTGAATGTGTCGATATTTCGTCATGCACCGACAACCAGGGCTGATGAAACTTCCAAGATAAGTGAAGCGTTCAATGCCCTCAACTACTTCTTTCTTCATCATCACTTTAGGCGTTGGTGCAGACCAATCCTGCAGCAACATCTTGTGTTTGGATAAGCATTTAAAATATGATTGCATTGCCTGACTGTTGTTGCTACCTTGACGTGGTGGTCGGACTTGCCTATCGTGATGAAGCAACTGAGCTATACTGGCTGGAACAACCGTTCCTCAAGGTCCTACCATGCCAGACAGGTCGGTTGAAGAGCGGTAAGACTAAAAGCAACAAAACCATGGTCCGAAGGCGAAGTCGTACTGCTGACTGTACAGAGGTGTGACAGCAGTAATGTGTTTCCTTCAGACAACCAGCATAATAGCGATGCTGCCTACCCAAAAGGAGGGGAGGGGTTAGAAAAGGTCGACCCTAAAAATGCACACCTCGCCTTATCCCACGGATATCCGTCTCCGGCGGTAAGGTCTCAACAAGTACGGAGCTAACACAAAAATTACTCATAAAAAGGTCGTGTGTGACCGACCTCAAGCAATTGTCCCTTGGGCACTGCAGTCACGCTCTCGGGTCACTAAGACCACCTCTAATCCAATTTCCTCTTCAGGGACGAGTATACTGAGCGGCAGTTCGTTCCGTTCTACTATACGACTGTGAAACATGGTCTTTAAGAGTAGAAGATACTCGTAAGTTACTAGTATTTGACCACAGGTGCCTTAGAAATATTGCTGATATCTGCTGGGATCACCGGGTAAGTAATAGTGAGGTTAGACGCAGGGTATTAGGGAATGATGGTAAATCAGTTGATGAGGTTATGAACCTTCATCGACTGAGATGGTTGGGCCACGTGCTGCGTATGCCTGAACACCGATTACCATGACGCGCAATGTTAACCGGTGTTAGGGATGATTGGAAGAAAGTTAGGGGCGGCCAAACCAAAACGTGGCATCAGTGCTTGAAGTCACTAACTTCTGGTCTGAGCCATGTTGGTAGATTCAGACTGCCTGGTTGGGGTCCGCGTGACTATCGTAACCAATGGTTGGAGACTCTTGGTGACATGGCTCAGAATCGATTACAATGACGTCGGTGTATACACTCTCTGTCTTCCTTTAAACTAAGAGATTAAAATCACTTCAAATCTTTCTTTCTACGAACTAATTCTTTCATCCTGTACTATCTCCTTATATGCAACCTTTTTTTATATATAACCACCACTGAATTAACTACTTCTATGAATCCGGTGTTGATCTTGTTGTGCTAATGAGGTATGACAACTTGGACCGATGCATATACGTGCCTGGTCCTACGTTGCAGCTAACTGATTGACTGATGGTTGCATTGTTGCTCAAGGTGATCCGAGGATTGAATCTTGTCAGTGCCTTCACAAAACAGGACAATGGCTGTGTATTTTACATCAGAAAGGTCTAGCCGGACCTTATGGTGAGCAAACAATGGTTTTGAACTAATAAATTATACAATTGTCAAATCGTAGCATTTTTAGATGTAAATAATTCAAGTGGCGTATGAACCAATCGTTGGTCACCGGCTACCATGGGACTGCATCTCCTTACGTTGCTCCACTGTCATGTGGGTCAAGCCTTTAGGTCGAAGGCTCCGGGTGTGGCTCCCTAAGGAAACCACCTGCTTCGGTTTGTGCACCCGGGTAGCATCCCAGCCCTCACACAAACCGAATGATTTGTCTGGCGCATATCTATTCGGTGCCTCCTTGTACCAATGTTTATGTGTTTAAATATTAATAACAATATTAATAATAAAACAATATTGAAGAACACTATACTGTATACAGGGTTTACGTACTTGAATGATTTACAAAACAAATCCTTAGGAAAGGACAAGTTAGATTATAATTTTCCATGACTGAAAATTCAAAAAACACGGGCATAACCAGTCAGGAGCTTCTATGCAATGATTCAATACTTTTTTAGAGTATATGGCCCGTTTTCAATGGTTATGGACAATGATGGTTACATGAAACCACGTTATTTTTAGTAGCACTTAGATGTGCATTTTAATCAACTACCTTCAACCATTTAGTTTCAAGGAATCGTTCTGTGACCTCAAGCTACCTCGCGAATTCGACAGGTGGAAACCAATTAGTATCGACGAATAGACACCATGACACTGGTTACTACTTAGTGAATAAATTTCATTGGATTTACACACGTATGAAAATAAATTATACGGTCAACATTAACTGTAATTTGTTGAAATGTTTGTCAGTTACTTACCATAACTATCTTCACCTTCGTTGGAAACGGTATAAGTCCAAGATGACACTCATCTACAATAGGGTAAGAACCATTGCGATCACATGGAGACAAGTCACAGGATCCAGACTCCGTAGCCGTTGGTCTACCTAAAGCTCCCTCATCATTGCAACCACATGTAGCAATAGTACCATTAGTTGTCAGGCAAACAGAATGCATGCCCCCACAACATATTTGTGTGAAATAAGAAAAAGAATTTTCTTTAGTTGTTTGTAACGCATTAAGACTTGTAGCACTTGGGAGCGCAGGTCTTGAGCGTTCTGTTACATCTGGTCCCAAACCAAGTTGACCAGTATCTCCAACACCGAGGAAGAGAGCAGTACCAGGAACAGTAGATGTTGTAACGTTGTTTCTAACCTGCTTTGTGTGTCCACCTAGTTGTGATAATGGAGAATGAGGGCCTCCAGAAGTTTCGACTGAAAATGAAGTGGTTTTTAGAGCAGCAAGAATAAATTACTTACTGAAAGATAGGAATCATACTAACTCAAAAACCGTAACTAAAAATGATTGAAAAAAGCAACAAACATTGATTTTGCAAGTTTCAGTAAAATAACCGATTGGTTACCTATACAAAGTCTACAACCATTTGAAAATGATCTTTGTAATTGTTTGTCTGACTGAAAATGGGATAAGTTATTCAACTACTGTACCTTGATTATATAGAACGAGGCTACGTTAGTGACCAGTAATCTACTTGTTCAAACAATTTGAGTTTCAAACACTGATATGCACTTTAGACAATTTGCTCTTGAACCAAAGCAAGCGTCTCTTCAAGACATATTGTATAGTAGTATAAGACGAAATCGGAAAAATGGTTAAAAAATAAGTGGTATGCCGGAAAATAATGGACCATCTACTATTTACTTCTGACTTATTGAGACTTTACATTTAATGTTGTGAGAACTAAAAGCTTACTCGTCCGTGTCTCTTCATAGGTTCATAACAAAGTTTAAGGTATCAGTAACCATGGTGCAATATGAATGTGCAAGCTTTTTTAATTGTACAGCTTAAGTTCTTAAATGAACATTTTAAAGACATTTTCTATTGGTGTTAAATTATATCTCGTGAACTTGGGTGCCAGCAATGTATGGTTTCACAGCTGTCGTGATGGACCTATAAAATATTGATTGTATGTACATACTACTTACTGAAATGACCACTCCAGATAACAACAGTAGGGAAATTGTTACTCTGTAAACTCAATTCCAAATAAAATGAATTCGGAAGAGTTCTGTGTACAGGCGACCATTCCCTTTAGCCCATTAACGAAAAACGTGGAAGATAGCAGAGAAATCTGAATTTATACTAACACACATCTAGACCTCGACAGAAAAATCTTATCTGAGAAAAGATGATTTGTTACTCTGACATATCCTAGAAAGATGTCTTCACAATACGAAAGCAAGGGGGAATTAGGAAGCAACTCAGTATCTATTGGTAGGTAATAGTACAAACCGCTAATTGACGTTATCCTATATCATCAACAGTAGAGACAAGATGAACAAATTTGAGTTTAAAAATTTTCATACTTTTTTTACCAAGTACAAGTCACAGTAAACATGTCAACGCTTAGTTGGAATTTAAGCTTTTAGTTTACGTCAGGTGCCTGAACGTATGAAAAAGGTAGCGTGGCCACAAGGATTTAACGACAAAAATAATAGTGTGGTAGGAAGCATGTCAAAAAGAAAAAAGTATACAGTAAAATAAGACATTTATTGCTTGTGAGGCATAAAATTGAATAGGATGAAATATTTGTGGGAGAACTGGGACGAAGCTTACTGCATTGAAACAGTAATAACACGTGTGTACCATGTCTCTTGAATGAAGTATGACACCCACGGTAAACCAATAGCACTCATCACGGAATATTTTGATATCGACTAGTTCTAAGTCTGAATATATACACTTGATATGGAAGCGCTCTAGCAAAAATAGGCTGTACTCCATCTGAGATTATCAAACGTACTATAACTTAGTGGATATTATATTAACTGGTGACGAATTATATTACTTACAAATATACATGCACAAATAATTTAGTCAACATGAATAAACCGTGGAACAACCTACATTTCCGACGTTTCCTCAAACCACTGTCGAATGTGATGGAACTTCGTTTTTGACGGACAGGAACACCAGTACTTCTAACAGTATCACGGCCATCTATACTCTGAGAGGACGGTTTGATGACCATGCTAGCACAAAGGTTGAATAAGCCACCAAGCCGGACAAATGAAGCAGGTGTTCAATACCTAAAAGGTTTCAAACAGTTGTAGATAGAATCGAAGAAGCTTTCGCATAGCGGATCTTTGATGCTTACAGGGAGAAACCTAGGCATATTTAACAAACAGAAGAGAAATGTTGGCAGATTATAGTAAATACTATAATGAGTCTGTAGTGACCTACTTTTGTCAACAGAACGCGATTGGTTCAATGAAAACAATTATTATTATAACCAATTGTAACAGTGATTGTTTTACTGTGCTCGTTTGTTTAACTGTGCTAATGACAGCCATTATACTTACTTACTCTACCGTTGATTTTGAACTTGTACGAATTCGGTTACGCTCAGTAACCACGCTTGTACTCCTTTGGCACGATCTCGGTATTCTTTCGACACCACGAGATCGCCAACAAATACATCTTGACTACAGCCATCATCTGCCTTCTGGAATTGGCCTACGGGGATCTTCTTGTAGTAATGTTCATAGTCGATCGCGACTCGACACTACACTACAAGTCCTTGAGAAAGTATCGTTTTCTCTTAAAATACTCTTAGAATGTTGTCTCGAACACCTCATCCGACAGCGAATAACAGAACTTCCCTAGTCTTAAACAGTGAAAGGTTCGCAATCCTATGACTCTGATATCTGACTGCAGCCCCTAAGTTTTTCGTTGGGACTGAGCCTAAGCAATTACTTAAGAGGATGCCCAGAAGTATTCAGAATGCTATAAGTCATTAGAAAGTCACCACTTATGTTATTATGCTCTAATGGGTAAAGATACCATGAGTTGAGGAGCTCTTCTGAGGTCTGAATTTAATTCCTAGAACTCATTTCGTGGCTCGCCTTTGGAAACGTTCCAGAGTATTCTTATCCTTTTGGAGTGAAATAAAACCACCATGTTTCCATACTCTTAATGAAATCGACTAAAACCGTTTAACATTAGGTTGAAAGTTCCACCACCGAATGGACTAAAACTGCGCCTCAACACTAACTGTGCAAAGTAAGCTGTGGAAGCATTGGTTGCTTTTAGCGTATGACTTTAGATCATAAAGCACCAATATTTAATTTTGATATCTCTAAAAGAGGATAAACTAAGTTGTATTCGTAGTCTGAAGCATGTCTTGAGAAGGTCATTTTACACGCTGAAGTATTGAAAGTAAGTCTGTTGTTGCCCACCCAACTTTGAAGTCGATTCAGATCTTTCTGAAATACCAGCTTAACATGTTGGCTTTGAACTTCTCTCCACAGTGTAACATCATCTAGGCGAGGTGATAATACAGACGATTCTTACTGAAGGCCATTCACGTAAACTAAAAATGGAAGAGATCCTACCACTGAGCCCTAGAGGACCCCACTAGAGTATTCTGTAGCCCGAGAAAAAGCAAAGTTTACTCTGACCTTAAAAAGTCGACTAATTAAATATGAAGTGAGCCAACAGTTTGAGCTGATTGATGTGACACATATGGCTGGCTCTATCAAAAGCTTTTGAGGAGATGAGGTATATATCACCAACCTTACTCTCACGATCAAGGATGGTTGTCCACGGCAGTCAGAAGGTTTCTTATACAGAGAAGGCTTCCTGAGACCATGTTTTTAGGATGAAGAGAAGTTGGTGGATGGCAAGTAGTCACGCAGTCTGTCGTACATCAAGAACTCCATAACTTTTGAGGGTATTGAGGTAGATGCTACCGGCCAGTAGCTTGAATTTTCATAACGTCGGCCTACCTTGAGAAATAGTGTAAAGTGAGCTAGCTTCTAATTATCTGCGTGTCCCAGTTTGGCGAATATGAGAACATCATAGCAGTTTTACTAAGATTGAATCCTACTCTCTCGGCATATCAGAGTGAACCACATCTGGACCAAGAGAAGTGTTTTTGTTTAGATGCTAAAACTTCTGATAAACCAGTCCAGCGCTCAGCACTTCTCAGATTCTTGATGAATTGGTGGTGGAGCTCTTGCTGATGTAGTATAAATCATAATAATTATTATTATTCACAAACATCTTAGGAGTACATAAGCGTTGTGAAGAAACCGTTTCGGGTTTCTTCAAAAATACAATAACACACAAGTTTCAATAATGTTAGCATTATATTTGCTATATTTGAAAAAGAGAGTAATAATGTTAGAATAATAATAAATCAGGTTCTGTGTAATTGAGAAGCACATTGAATTGAGTTTAAAGAAGGAAAGGAAGAAAAACAGGAATAGAAATAAAGGAGACGTGAAATGTACAAATAGTTCAATAGGCGTGTTTATGAACACAAAGCAAGAGTAAACGACTATGTATGTATCGTCAAATTAGTAAATAAAAAATAAAAAATAATTAGGAAAAAATAACTTATTATTGCCGTAAGATATGGCGCCAGCATAAATGTTTGTGCAGTAATAGTTTGGAGTGATGCTATAAAAATCTCAATTAAGAGAAAAGGATAATGAAATATAAGTATGTATAAGCTATATATCAGTAGTGAAAATACAACGAGTTTGAGAAGTTAATTTAAGTGTAATACAAGTTACTGTTTTAATTACAAACTTCGTAATTTAGAGAATAATATTTATTTAGAAGAAAAAGGGAGAGAAAAGAAATGAACACCTAGTGAAAGAGTTAAACCATGATAAAAATAGTAATTGTGTAATGAATATCAACCTCTAGAGTAAACCAACAATTTAGAAAAATAAAAAACAAAAATCCTTTAGTGCGTTCGGATAAATACATATAGATTTATGTAATAGTATACAGAGTGAAATTGGATATTAGATAAATATTTGTGCAATAATAATTAAGAATGATGCTATGAAAGCCACCATTAATTTCAAAGGACAATCAGGAATTAAATATGCTTAGAACGATAAGAAGAGGTAAAAAGAATATCTAATGTGTCGAGGGACCAATAATGTTATTAATAACAGTAGGAATTATAGGTGTAAACATAAGCAGACTTCTCATATTAAGATGAATAGAAAGAAAATAAAGTAAAATAGGCGTTAAAAGTTTCAAAGGTTACATTTTGTTTTTCAGTCAATTAGATGGATGACGGACCTTGTTTGTATAAATCATTATTTAATACATTGATATTCAATAGGTGACACAATCCACTTTCGGAAATAAAATCATCAATGAGACTTCTGAACCGAGTTGTAGTTTCACTGCAACGGCGGTTCACTGGCAGTCTGTTCCACATGGTTGAGTAGCGAATAACGAAGAAAATATGGCGTAAGTTTGTGTGGGTTCCTGGAATCGCTAGAGTATTTTCCTTATTGTGTAGATTGTGGGATGATATCATAGTATGAAGGGGTCGATAACGAAGAGTAGGAAATATCACTAATAAACCGGTAGATTAAGACAAGGTTTAATTTCATACATCTGATCCAGAGAGGTTCTAATTCGAGTTGTTGACATATTTGATGATAGTCTGTTGTCGGAATACCCCAGAACAGCTTTGATGAACGTTCTTTGAACACTCTCAGTTTTAATCAGGTCATTATGCCTGCAATTACTGTAAACTAAAATACCATATTCGAGAATGAATAAGATACATTTTCTGTATAATAATGATGATCTCGATTCGATATTATTGAAGTATATAATTATGAGTCCAATGAGCTTTCTAGCTTTAGATACTTGAAATGCGATGTGCTCAGAAAAGTTCAGACTGTTTCTATATCTCAAACCAAAGTCAAGAACAGTGTTGAGAGATTCGAGTGTATGTTTTTTGTATAGCAAGATTTAGGTTTAGGCAGTCCATTCGTATAACTTATTTATTTCTTCTTGGATTACCGCTGAAATATAGCTTTCTTTGGTGCACTAGACCCACTCTCGTTTCTCATCCACATAGGAGATATATTTAAAATCACGAATTCGGGAAACCACACTTATACACTGACGATCTCGAACTACTATTCAAATTTGGGTGAAAGTATATCCTCAACACAAAATAAACTTCGCAACCTATCGATGTGGAGTGAAAAACGTTAGTCACTATTTAACCGCAAGTATGGTATCATGCATCTTAAGAAAAATTATACTTCAATCAGATAAATGTACAGTTCGAACACACAGTTCAGTTCATCATCCGGTTACGAATCACAAGGGAGCCCCATAATTTGAAAAACATGTCCCCTGTATTATTCCTAAATCTAGAAAGCTGACCGGCTTCATAACAAAGTTTCTCTACAAAGAAGGCTAAACTTTGGTTTGAACACTGCTAACTTGTAGGTATCATTACCAAGGTTTGACTTGGTAATTTTGAATGAATTGAGCATTGGGTAGATTGCTGTAAATAGATTGGTATATTTGTAATACCCCAATGAGTAGAAAAATTAAACATTCTGACGTTTCATGACTCAATGTAGACCACTTTTTCAGGTAATAAATAACCAAATCAAAATCAATCCAGGTTTGAATAGTACTCTGAAGAATTGGCTTACACTGTGTCATGAAAGGTCAGAAAGCATTTCTGCTTATTGGGATGTTACAATTATATTAATTTACTGATATTTGTGTTCTCAAACACCAATGCTAAAGACAAGAGGCGGGCCAACGTTCAAAGAAACCTAGCACGTTCACTACGTTCCCGGCTACACAGCCTTATGTAAACATTTCTCCCTAGAACGTTTATGGTGCCCTCGGTGAAGGAAAAGTTTAGTATCGTTTAATACAAGTGTATGGTCCTGTTGTGGTATTCGATCCTAACCACGCGACCATTGAAATCGAGCGTATAAGTACTGAAAACGTTTATGTTTAACAATTAGAACGAAGAGAAGGTCAGTAAAGGTTCAATCCAATCGAGCGGATGACACTCATATATTCAAAACCAAGTGGGGAAACAAGTGATTTTTCTTCTCTAACCACTCATAGTCGGTCATCCTGTTATGCTTCTATCACTGGAACTCAGCTTCAGAGTTTCCTTACTGTTCAAAGTCCCACTATTCTTTCTGTGAAGTCCTATGACCCTTTTTATCTTAGATTTTAAATGAAACAGATAATTCATTAAACCTGTGGATTTCGCTCAACCA